GCACGTACGCACACGCACACACGCAAACGCACACGCGCACGCATACAAAACACACACTCTTTGTTTCTCTTTTTCATTCTCTCTCTGTCTCTCTTTCTCTGCCTCTGTACCGCATTCGTAACTTCCTCTCGTTCAGGTTTCTTCTCCCGCTCCCCGAAACGTTCGGTTTTCATTTTCATTTCTCATTCTTCTCTTTCTTATTTTTTTTGTTTGTTTGTTTGTTTCATTTCACAATCATCGATGAGAACGTTTAACACCGACAGACACTTAATGCTATAAACTGTTCCACCTCGGAATCGGAATGGATTCTGAAAAAACATCTACTATAGTTAATTGTCGATCGTACGCGGCATTGTGTCCTTGAGGCCGATAGAAGAACGAAAAAGAAACATTCATTATATAGACATCAGTTATTATATCAACGATTCTCTCATCTATACCCTGTGCATCATTTTAAATGTTTTCAACACATTCTATGTGATTACTCGAGATAAATGTTTCTCGCTTATCGTAGATAGTCAATATATAATATATTTATACTTTATGTATAGTCCTTGGGAGCGTGGGCGCTCGCCCGCGCGCGCGCGCGTGCGATCGCGACATCCGCGGCCGACGGTGTTGCAATTCGTTTCGATTTATCTTTGTGTTCTACGTAAGTAAGTAAGTACCGTCGGTTGCGAACGCGCGCGAACACGTCCACGTTCGTTCATTCATTCATGTATATATATATATAACCATGCCAGATGCATAATTGTACAGCGTCGATCAGCGACAAAAGAGGACGCGCCGATCCGTGCCACGCCGTTTGCCAAAGGATCGATCGGTTCGCGGGCGTTCGTCGATCGCCACCCGGCAACTGACCGATCGTGCATCCTCGATTGTTCGCAGCGCGGTCGATGAGAAAATGTTCCTATGTTCGAGCGAGGCGACGGAGCAACGCGGTTCAACTATATTATAAAAATCACGGTAACGTACGAAATATCGTTTCACAGCGGTGATCGCGAGTGTCAACGGTCCATGGGACGCGGCTCAAAAAAAGAAAAGACGGAATCTGTAACGAGAGAAACGGCTATAATATGGCTGGTAGCGGGTGCGAGGTTTCGAGAGCTGGGATGCCTGGCTCGAGCCGAGTCGCACAATTACACACGCATACACAGGCACACAACATGCATACACGCGCTAGCACTACGCTGGTACATACACACGACATCACCGCCGCGCTGGTTCGATCGAGGAGGCGTCCCGGCTATCGGTTTACTTAAATTATTAATCCCGTGCAGTGTCCTTCGACGACGCGGTTACGATGTAATAACCTTTCAATATGCGCTCCGTTAGGAAAACAGAAGTGGGGAAAAAGGATGAACGAAAAGCTTGCAAACCTCGTGAGCGTAAAGCGTAACCTGTTAAACGGGTAATTTCTTTATCGATACGTCGATCGCGCCGATGCGATTAGAATCGAATGTCGATGGGCGCGAGTTTTGTATTTCGAGCGAGTATCAACACGTTCCGCGATAAGGAGAATGATAGTAAACTTGGGATACACGATGCGCCGGTTTCTATGTCGTTAATCCTTGATTAATCGTTTCGCGATGTTTTTGGTGGCATCATTGTCGTCGGCAATCCGATCGGATTGGAAGATAAATGGGAGTAGTTGCTAAAGGGAATACTAGAATTTCGGACGATGCGCATTGACTATCGCGCCAGTCATTCTAGTCGCATTTCATGAGGATCTATGAGATGCGAGATGACCAGCAGCCTGATTCAATACGGACGATGAAGTCGCAGAACTAGGGAACGAGCAACGAATACAAATGGAACTTCTACCAAAAGAAATGGTTTTTTATAGAACCTGCTTTTCTATAAACTTCATAAACACTTGTGTCTGCATACAGACCCTGAAGATCTAGGGTTACAATGTTCCGAATCGATAAACGAATCAACTCGACACTAGATTTCTATGATAATCAACGTATTAATATCCATCGTAGCAACAGATACACCGCGAGACGTGTCAACACAAACAAGTGCTTCAACAGTATCAACAAGAAAGGCAAGTGTAGGTACACGCGCGAATGAAGAAACAAAAGATCATCGATGAAAATACCGTTAGGAGATCACTTGATGGCTAGGCTAAGGGATGCAGTTCTGATTGGTCAGTTTTCGTCTTTTCCCACCTTGTTATCAATACTAATTTCCTACTCGTCGATACGGTTACAGGTAACCAATCGAAACTACAAACAAAATACCTAGCAAGACCCTTCTTGCTCTTGTACCTTCCCAGTACTCTATAGGCAAATCGCTCGACAGCTAGGCTGAGAAATACGGATCCCATTGCTCAATTCTCGGTTTCCTTACGATGCTATTTTCCCATTCGCCAACACGGTAACGCGTAACGAATCAAAGCTATAAACAAAACAAACAATGAAAAACCCGCCTTGCCCCTATGCTGTTCCGCCAGACATCAAGTCATCACCCAACAGTACACTGCAGAGCGATCGTGAACGGATTAATCCGTCGGTACCCGTTAACAGGTTAACGGCGAATGGTGAAAGGATAAGAACTCTCGATAGTCTCCGAGATCCGTCGACGGACAGCGGACGCGGGGGTGTGACGAGTCCCGATCTCGTCGGAACGACGACTCGCCGCATCGCGAGCACGGGTCGCGCGCCGGTGTATTCCCGTTCTTCCGATGAAGCCCGGTGAAACGCGATGAAACGCGGGAATTACGTTTTTGCAGTGGTGCTAATTAGGGGCACGATGGATCGTTGGTTCGGTCGGAGAGGAGGGGGGAGGGAGGCAGGGTGATGTTGATCATGCTTGGGTACCTCCAATTACGAACTCCGCAGCGTCTTTTACAGGCGGATCCCTGCATTCTGAACATTCCGATTTTGTTGTAGCAAGCTGGACTCCCATCGGGCGGCGCCCGGGCGTGCGCGCGAAGCGAGCGACTCGGCCTATCGCGTTGAACGGCGCGTTACGATTCAACGAATCGAATTGACTAGATTCGCGTTAAACGTGTACAGGTTCCGCGAGCAATCGTTTGTGTGTGCGTCCGCGTTATTGCTTTGATGTGGTGATAACGATGATGATGACAGTAATAGTAATAATAATAATAATAATAATAATAATAATAATAATAATAATGATAATGATGATAATAATAATAATAATAATAATGTTAATGTTAATAATAATATTAATAATCAATAATGATAATATTGATAATAATCACAATAATAATAATAATAATAATAATAATAATAATAGTATATTCTGTAACATGTGTATACGCGTACATATCGCTTGTGCCCGCGAGATTGCATTTGTTACACCGCGAACCGAAAATATTTCCGAAATGTTTTCTCTATTTTTTTTCGGAATGCGTTCGAGAGGATGCGCGTTGCAAGGATTCACCGACGGGGCGAGTGTGATCACGCTCGCTTCTAACATACGCGCGATAACGGTTTCCGATGTACCGTCCGAAATTACGTCGTACATGTGATACATGTATATGTGTACATCATACGTACGTATTATGTGTTTCGTTAATTCGGAGATATTTTGTTCGCGGGCAGTTTGTGAAAAATGCTCGAATCGGCGGCGGAACGCGACCGTTCGTTTAACAGGAGCCCCGCCAGCGGTCGTCAGCTGCGGCCGGCAGCGGTGCAGACTCGCTAATCCAGTCGCTGAGTAACCAACGAAAAGAATTCTCTTTCTCTCTCTCTCTCTCTCTCTCACGCGCACACACATGCACGCACACGCACTCCATCTCTCTACTTTGCAACAGACTAAACGAAGAAAAAAAAAGTAATGAGAAAAAGTAACAACGTATATACGCGAGAAACTTTTGAAATTCCAACGAGTTAGGTGCGACGGCGATCCGCTTCGATCGCGACCCGTTGGGACAACAGATTGCACAGTTGCC